GGAGGGTCACCCACCCGGGTCACCTCTGACAAGTGATGGTTCCTGCTGACATCGCCTCTCGGGGCGATGGCTGACCCCCCCGCGTGCCTCTCAGGAAGGGGGGCTCACCCCCTCCTTCACCACCCGGCACAGCAGTCCCCTCACCCAGCCCGCACCAGTGCCCACAGCCCACGGAGCACCGGGGGCTGGCTGTGGGGACCCCTGGAACGGGCGACCCCTGACGCCCCACAGGCACAGAGGCACCAGCATGTGGTGCCCGGCCGAGAGACAGCCGCTTCCCGCCGCCGAGTTCATGTTTGCTGAACGTTCCACAGCGAGCCATGACAGTCCTGCCGGGGAGCTGGCTTGTGGAGCACTGAGTTAGCACTATTCACTCACCGGCCATTGGTGCCCCTGTCATTCAAGAGATGCTATAAACCTGTCACTTCAGCCAACAACCCCTTTTTCTATTTATGTACTAGTTGTGTTTGCGTGGTTAATTATTATTTGATCTATGGAGCTCGCAACTAGAAGTCCTGTTTCTCCAGGGCCTTGCAGTTATTTCTAGGGCAGCCAGTTTGCAGGCACCAGTCCCTTGCTCTGGCACATACACGTTTTTGCCAGGTTGTCCCACATCAGGCAGTGAAGTCAGAGTGCTGGCAGTCACTGCAACCATGAGCGTGACAGGCTGTAGAGCCCTGCCAGGGAATTTGAGGCAACAAAGGAAAATAATAGGAGAAAGAACAACATTTCAAGCTCCTCTTCTCCACAGAGCCACTCTTCTGACTGAGAGGCTCTGTTCCTATCAGCTGCTCCGCAGGAATTGCCCGCAGCCCCAGGAGCTGCTCAAACACATCCCCATGCAGCCACGTGTCACTACGTGCAGGCTGGGACTTTGGGTGGGACCTCATCATTGAGAAAGGAATATTCCTGGGCAGTGATTGCATGGCACAAGATCAGCTGCTGCCTATGCAATTGCCAAATTAATTAGTGTAAACACAGAGTTCAACCCTTAGTTGAACTGCTTAGTTTTTCCACCAGGCTTTGGGATAAGTCTGAATCCATGTGGTTGATAACCAGGAACTTGCTGTCCACCTGCACTGCCCATTTCCCATCCCTTGCCCTGTGCTAAGAGCATCACACTGAGCGTTACACAGTCAAACCCAGCTCAGGTTTGAAGGCCTCCCTAGGGGTGGGGCTTCAGAACGGGTTCGCTCCACTTCAAAATCAACCCTGTCCACCAGCGTCCACCCCCTCCAGCACAGCAGCTACAGGTTTTGGAAGCTCAGTAGCCCAGGGAGATTGGTTTGGTTTTGCTACTGCAATAGCAGCGTGCAGAGCAGGTAATGAAGAGCAGATGAAGCAATTTGCTCAAGATCAATACTGCTAAATACACAAAGCTTACTAAGCGAACCTTTTTGTCCTAACCTAAAGAAACCTCTCATTTGCTCATTCCACATTTAAGTAAAAAACTTATTTCAAAAGTAACAGCTCTAGCTATAATCAGAAGTAAATCTATAAGCAATCAGAGAGATGTGGTTTTGTTTTGAAACCTGTTCCATGTAGGGGCAGCGAAGAACTTAACACCTCCCTGAAAATATAACCAAGCTTTATGCAATCAACAGCAGCCAATCTGCTCAGCCTCAAATGCCTCCAAAGGGATGTTTAGCCCTGGTGTTTTCATGGAAGGGGCTTGGTCAGATGACTTGCTCCAGAGTAGGAAAACTAGGTGTGCACTAAAGTATCCCAAGTTTTTAAGCCATCTGAAAACAAAATTAAGATACGAAAATGTAGTTTGTGACTGAGCTTAGGCACTATTCAGAATTAGAACAATGTAGAAAAAAAAAAGGCAAGATCTAGCTTGCAAAGCACATACCTGTGCTGCAGACACTTGTAGGTTCATTTGTGTCCACTAACCTCGAAAAATAAACCAGTGTCTTCAAAGCAGACACCAAGGCTTTCTCTACATCACTCTCTAAAATAATTTGCAAGTGAAAAGCAGTACTAACTTCAGAGACTCAACCCTTTGGCTACACTGCACCAAGCTCAGAACTTAACAGCAGGGTCTTTCTTACTAAGCACTCAAGTCAAGGCTCAAATTGCATAATACATTGTTTTCCCCATTGAATTTCTGGAGGAGAGCAACCATCACCCATAAACACCCCTGTTTCCTCAGAGCCCAGCTGTGCTGTCCTGAACCCAACTGCAGAGAAAGAAATGGCCACATTTCAGCTCTTCACACCCTTTTACTCACCAGGATGAAACATCACGATGGGGTGGCTGCCTTTGCCCTGTGAATTGTAGATCACAGCTGCTGTTGCGCCCTTTCTGGTTGCCACCTGAATTTTTTCAGTAAAATTGCAATTGCCTCTTTCGATCAGTGCTATCCACGGCTCGCTCGTGACAGTGAACTCAGTATTTTTGTCACAGGCTTGATGATTCTCAGATGTTGGAATGCCCACAAGCCCCTGGGCACTGAGTCGAGGAGAATTGAAGCCATACAGGCCACATTCGCAGCGCTCAAACACAGTAATGTTGGTGGTGCTGTCGAAATAGAACAAACCTACAGAGGCCATCACAGACATTGCCTCTGTAGTGTTAAATAAAATTAAAAAATCCAGCAGGAGACAGAAAAACCACAACTGCTCGACTTGCTTCATTGCTTCTTCCTAGCAGTGGAAAATGTAGATGTCCAGATGTCTTTTCAGCTGCTGGTGATCCCTGTTGGAGCACAGCCTGCTGCAGAGTTGCAGCAGGAACCCGACACCAGCCAGGTGAGCTCTCCAAGTGTCAGGGAGCTCAGCGTACGCGTTGCCAGGTCCGGAACCCTGTGGACACGCCCAACGATTGCGGGGTAGCGGCGCAGGCGGAATGTCCTGCGGCCCAAACTTCCTGCTCCTTCTGCACAACACACATCACTCTCCCCCTCCTTCTCTCCCATCACCCCACAAACTCTGCCTTCCATGATGCTTCCCAAGACAGTGCTCAAGTGCCCTGCTCCTGTTGCAACCCGAGTGTCACTGCAGAGGAACAGGTCACCTTTCATGCAGTTACATAAGCTCAGGGTCCTCACTTCAGGATCAATCTGTGATGCAAATGGCCTTGTTACAAAGGTCAAAAG